GGAAAAACATGTACGTGTATAAATTTAAAAAAAAATCGTGAAACTTGACTATTACATCATTTACATTCGCATAAGACATAACTCTCTTGGTAAACTAAAAAAAAAAACGACAAAAATGAGGTTCATCATTACAGAAATCCCACATATATAGATTCAGATCAATACAAGCTAAAAACTTTACTTGAACCAGCGGAAAATAGCAACAAAGCTTAGCTATACTTAACAATTAACTTAGCCATTGGTGTACACAGATTCACCGGGATCCATGTGCATCCATCCATGCCTCTCGCATCCCACTCCGATGACTCGATCTTCCATCGCCTTAGCTACGTACCGATAACAACCTTCTTTGTACCGGCTACCAATGATTCATCCAACAACATACTTACTTAGCCAATCACCCCCACATGACTATGCATGAAGAGAGATGTCTGGATTCCTCATCACACAAAACACCCATGGGCGGATCCGGAACTTATTTTAGTATGGGGCACAATATTATAAAATAATTTTATCAAAAAAATATAGTATAAATTTTTTATAAGAATTTATCCTATTTTCTTCTATATTTTGAAATTTTTTCATCACTATTTCATTTATTATTTTATAAATAATTATGTGTTGTAAATTAAACTAAACAATCGTTTAAAAGTAATTTAGGCCGACTATGCCTCATATCTCATGACTATCATTTTAATTTGTTAATATTTATGTGGTCTAAGGGCACATTTGTTTTTTCAGTTGGGTTAATATGGCATTTTAGTGTATTTTTTTGTGTTGTTAACGTAAAGTATTTAAGTGTCTTAATCAAAATTACTTGAAAAATAAATAAAAGAGTATAGGGCACGTGCCCACCCTTCTCAAGCCATAGATCTGCCCCTGAAAACACCCGTGTTACCTATAGGAACCACACAAACATGATCCACCCGATCAACAGGAAATAGACATGATCCTTCCGATCATCAGAACATAAGACATGATCCTTTCGATCATCAGATACCAGTCATCGATCCTTCACTTGGATCTCAATAAGAAAATAACTCATTATTTTCTTTCCGGAGAGGTAGAGACCAATCTGACCATGTCACCATTTGAGGAAAAAACGTTAATAGCTGTCAAATATTATAGAATAGAATATATTATTGAGTTGTGTTTTATATGAGAATACAAGATACATATATATAGTGTCAACATTAATATAATGCTAACACCAACATAATATAAACTTTCCTAAACACATAAGGAAATAGCTTGTACAAGAAGTAATATAGAGATCTAGAATATTCTTCGGTTTAGACTTCACGGGCTTCACTTCATAATGGAGTTTAACGGTCTATATTACTTGGTCTGCAAGATACATATCTTGCTTATCTCCAATACTCCCCGCACAAAAAAGGTGGGACGCGAAATGCAAAATATGCAACCACAAAGCGGAACACCTATGTCGTGGACATCATGTCGAGGACGGACAAATCATATCAACAGACTCCTCATGGTATAAACTTCAATCTTCAAAAAAGAGGGTGGAACTTCAGCTCGTCTTTGGTCTTGGTAAAAGGGAATAACAACATCCCGTAGGCGCAAATCCTGCAACTCCACAAATAATCGTCATATCTTGGACAGTCCACAAACCGGACTAAAAAAAAGACTTAAAACATGAGCGTTCCAATAAACTCCCCCGTAATATGAGAAATCAAAACTCATATAAAAAATTGAGATATTCTAAACTCAAGAATAAATCTCATAAATAAATAACTACTTGTGAAAGCCCAAACCCTTAAAAAATAATTCTTCAAAGAACTCTAATTCTTGTACTAAACCAAACCATAAACTCAAAATAAAACCAAAACCTTAACTTAGAATAAAAAAAATATAATACCCTCATGTGGACGTCAAAGCAAACTTTGCTTCACGCCATCATCCGGATCGTCTTCGTCACCACCGTCTTCGATGGCTTCACATCCCATGGTTATTGTGACCACAAGATTTTTAGTGCAAAAGCGTTTAATTTAGATCTACAAAGATCGACTTCTTTGATATCATGTCAAATATTATAGAATAGAATATATTATTGAGTTGTGTTTTATATGAGAATACAAGATACATATATATATATATACTAGAAATTAACCCGCGGTACACCGCGGGCCTATAATTTTACTAAATAATAAAATTAATTTTTCTTTTTCAGGTTGAGAGCCCGCGGTATACCGCTGGAAATATTAATTTTACATGTTGTGACATTGATTTTAATATTGTATATTTTTAGTAGAGAAAATTGTGTAGTGTATGAAAAAATGATAAATTGTTTACAATAAAAATCTGTCATATTAATTATGATTTAGCGGTAAAATGGAATTTTGAAATCTTGGTAATGAATGTTTTAGGGGTAAGGAAAATACTATGTTTTTAGGAAAACATATACTTAGACACGCCGCACGCGTTTGTATTAAACAGATATCAAAACAAAAAAAAGAATTAAAATCGTAGAAACATTACATCATTAATAGAAAATAGAGAATACACAATGAAAATAAAAATTAGATTGCTCAAAAACTGAAGCATAGATGCTGAGAGAAGTTTGTGTGGATGAATGAAAAATGATTTGCCGAATAGCAGAGCCTATATTTATAATGTTTAGAATTAGGTTGCTTTATTAGGGTTTTAAGAAAAGCATATTCTACAAAATATTCTATAGCGTAGATATGCTATAGTTAATCGCATCAGAATATCTAAACGAAATTAATTTTAGTTTCTATCGTTAAAGATCTTAACATATTTGATTTGCGCTTTCGCGATTTTTATAATTTTGCAGTAAACCAACTTTATGACTTTCCATAGTTCAAGATCGTAGAGAATATTTGATGGTTAATCTGATAATTAGAAGATTCTATATATTTTAGCGAAATTTTTTCCCTAAATAACGAAGAAGTTACCATATACTTCGGAATTGTATTTGTTGATTTGATATTCGATTTTAAATTGAATAATTTACATAGAAGTTACCATACAAGTCCGGTAAGGTTTCTTATTTTTGCTGTCAAAAATACTCATATATCCGATTATCATTATTTCTATCAAAAATACCCAATTTATTAACTACATTTATTTTATAATAATTCAAAATAATATAAATATAACATCAAATAAAAGTGAAATGAGAATTATATAATTCTGTTTAAATTAGGTCGAGAGATTGTAAAAAATTAGCTCAAATTTGTTAATTAGCATTAACTCATCATATTTTATATCTTTTTCTGTAAAAATCGTGAAGAATATATGTCATAAATAATGAGTTTAGATATAGAAATAGTTAAAAATATAGATATTTTTAGAGTTTATAAATTAATTTCGTTTTGGATATTGCCAAAATTTAAAGAAAGATCCAATTGAATATTTTTGGTCACAAAAAAAAACTACCCATAAAGATTAAAATTTAGGATTATAGTTATTTCAAATTTTAAACTAATTTAGATTTTATAATTTTCATAAATACGAAAATAATTTGTTCACCTATATCAGAAAATATAACTAAAACAAATTACGTAATATTATATAAAAATTTAAAATAAATAACTATTTTCATTTTATGGTGTAGACAAATTATTATTAGTATTTACTATTTATGTAATTTAGTTTCAAAAATAATTTAGAAAAATAACAAACATTAAATTTTATAACAAAACAAATTATTTTCGTAAGAATTTGTCCCCAAATTAATATTTACAAAATATTTATTTTAATCACATATTTTTTCTATATAAAAATAAGTAGTTAGATAATTATGGTTAGAAGTAGTTAAGGTAAATAACAAATATGGTTAGTTTAGAGATATCATATATATATAACAAATAAGATTATTTACCATTAAAATAGGTAACTTATTTGTTTTGTTATACGCATATTCTCTTAAAGAAAATTAATAATTAGGTGTGGGGAGAAGTTAAGGAAATTAACAAATATGAATTAATAAAGGAATTAATTTCGTTTTAATATTGCCATAAATTTTTTCAGTTTGAAATTAATAAAGGCTTCATTTATTAGTTTGAAATTAAGACAACATCCCTAAAATTGCTTATCCAAGATCCGAATAGACTAAAACCGGGTCAAACCCGGATCCAAAAGAATTAAAGCAAAAAAGTACTGTAAAAATGTATATGTAGATATATATATATATAGTGTCAACATTAATATAATGCTAACACCCACATAATGTAAACTTTCCTAAACACATAAGGAAATAGCTTGTACAAGAAGTAATATAGAGATCTAGAATATTCTTCGGTTTGGACTTCACGGGCTTCACTTCATAATGGACTTTAACGGTCCATATTACTTGGTTTGCAAGATACACATCTTGCTTATCTCCAATAATAGCCGATTGCCAACAAAAGAGATACAAACACGAGCACCAAGTAAAACTGAGCTTGGTTTGAACCCAGGCCGAATAACCTATCTTTTGCCAAAACGAACATATATTCATCTGTTAGGGTGGATCCCAAATTCTTTTTCTTAACAGTCAGTCACTAATAAAAAATACATCTCAGTTTCAAAAGCATTATAAAATTTTAAGAAGTTTTAATATAAACTTTCAAATTTAAGTTTCTTTGAGTCTTGATTCTACAGCTAATTCATCAATTTACGATCTGGCTCATTCAATTAAATGTTGGGTTAGTTCATGGGATCCAAAAACGTTCCCAAAACAATCAAGAACAAAAGTATGAAGAATAATTCTCTTTTAAGGAATGGAATAAGCAAAATCATCTAAGTTTTACAGAATCTATCGATATCATTTGAGGCTTGTTAGAAAAAAGCTAATAGATTTTATTCAATAACAAAATTCGACATGTCAAAGTTTTACATTATAAGATCTGATCACATCGATGAGCAATAAATTGGCTTAAAAAGACAAAGACGGTTGTTAACAGATAAACCAAAGTACAAAATCCATCCATATAGTTTGTTCTATAACCAAACAAAAAGCCAAAACATACTAAACGTTAATTCTTGTTGTCCTCTTTGACCGGGGAAGGCCGAACCAAACTGGGGATATATGTATGGAGATGCGGGTGAGATTGATCAGATAGAACCTCATACTGATCTATTTTGATTTTTTCGAACGTATCTCCTTTTACAATGTAGATGTAAGCCTGATTAGTTTCATCATAACAACAAATGACAAGCCTCTTAGCATCATCGTTGTCGAGGAAGTAAGTTAGGTCAGGACGGTTATACCAATAAAATGAAAATTTAGGGAAATTAGGTATTAACACTGTCATGAGTTTTATCCACACCACGTCCTCTTCTAATCCTACCTCCCTATTATTGATTTTATTCTTTGTCAACCAAATCTTTATCGTTGATGTTTTATTGCATAAGTTTAACAATGAAAGATGATCTTTCCTAAAAACCGCAAGGGCTAGAACATTGTCGTCATCGTACTTAAACGGTAGACGACAAAAAGTCGTTTGTCTTTCTGTTGAAAAACTGAAGCTTCTAATGAAAATACCATTGTTAAAATCTACACCAGCCCAATACAAAGTTCCATTCAGAGATACGCAATTTGATTGGAAAATTGACCAAGTACTATCACACCCAAATTCTTTGAATTTCTTTGCATATAACCCAATCTCATAAATCCTGGATTTTGTTGATGGGTCACCTTCATATTTATAATAATTCAACATCTTGTATTGTTTTTTGTTATCATAACCTATGTCATATGTGATTGGATAACGATTTTTGGATGCCAATAATCTTGCATGGAAGGTTGACTGACACCATTAGGTTTAAGATGAAAATAAGGATTATACTTGGGTGTCACATAATTTTCTAAATTATAAAACAACAATATGTACTATATAAGGTCTCTAAAAAAATATAATAAAATATAAATAATTTCATAAGGTAATATACAAAAAAATAAGTAAAAACAAATAGATTTTTTTGACTAAAATATTAAATTTAGGAAGAAATATGTAAAATGTATTAGATACTTCCAGATAAAATAAACTGTATGTAGATAAGCTATATTAATTTGGATTTGTTTCATCATAGCTATTTTAATATTTTAAACAAAAAAATATATATATTATCGTGAACTTATTTAGTGGTACATGAATTATTTCACTTCCTAGATTGACACATATCAAAATGCATTTATATATTGTTTTGATATGTTTTTGTCAAACTAAAAATATGTTACATGTATCAAAATAAAGCCTCTTGAAAGGAAAAAATAAACTAATTGCAAAGATTAAAATATACCATAATAAAATGCAAATTTTTGTTGAGCAAATATATTATATTTATGAATAATGATTTAAATGTAATGTAGTAGTCAAAATATAGTAAACTGTATATATATGGGATTGGTTTCACACAGTATGCATATATATATACTATTTTATGCCAATTGTTTTTAACTTACAGATCTGAGTCATTTGACACATCTCAAAATAATGTTCCCCATTTTTTTGGTTAAATTGCTTACACCTTTTGTTTTCAAATTCATTTATTTATTGGATGTTATTTAAGCATGCATTAAAATTTAATTGTTTTCTTACATCTAATTTATCCATTTATATTACATCATAATTAAAACTAGGGAAAATTGGAAATAAAGGACAAATATTTAAACTTTTGTCCATCTATGCATTCTATGATTAGATGTCAAATATTCCTAAACTATCCCTTCCATTATATTTAACCAATTTTTTCAAGGAAAACTAAGAACAATTTGTAGAAAAATGATGAAGAAGACATGAGGATGCATAAAATATAGAAAAATGTCATTTTTGTTTATGTTTTGGATGGATAAATTTTGATCTATGAAGTTTATAATACACCTTCTGACATTTAGAATTTGTATTCTATACACTCTACATATTCTACGAAATTTAGATCATGGGTTCTACACACTCTACATGTTCTACGAAATTTAGAAATCATTTTTGATCTATGGTATTTAGAATACTAGTTTTCTATGATTTTTAAAATACATATTCTATACTTTTCTCTTTGTTCTATTAAAATTAGAATACTTTTTCTATCATATATACATGTTCTAAAAATGTTAGAAAACGTATTCTTAAGTTTTCTCTAGATTCTATAAAATTTAGAAATTACATTCTATGATATTAGAATTTCTTTTTTAAAAAAGAAACAAAATCTTAAAATAAGGAGATCGAATATAGAGGTTTTGTTCCCATTTAATTTACTGTATGGTTCTTTATTATTTTAATAGTGTTGCTAGAATGATTGCCGGGAACAAGAAGACAGTCTTTTTTTCATGTTTAGTTTCAGTTTAGAACTAAGTTCCCTTTTTATTTTTTATTTTTGCTCTCTCATTCCCAATTCTTAAACCATGTTTGTCCTCCTACAATACAAAACAGAGTAATCTATGTTTGGATTCTTTGTTTCACATAGTTTTGTTTAGTGTTTTCCTATTGTTAAAAGGTATGAATTGCAAGATTATTCGAGCTTCAAAAAACTCAACTTTGAAAAATTATAGAGACTAAACTGATATTGCAGAGATTAAGTTGATGTGGAAAATGATTCCTCTTTTGAATTAGTAATAACAGTTATATATGACTTCGTAAAGAGAAATGAAGTGGCATAACAAACTTGCTGTATTAAACTACAAAAAAATACGAATATGTCAATCAATGCTTCCTTATAATAAACCTAAAAGCTACAAAAAATAAAAAAATTAAACTGACATATTCCATATCCTTGTAATAATATAATCGTATTTGAGAAAAAGCAAACACAAAATAGAAAAATTAAATTGATTTAGAAAAATATTTAAAGTTTTGAATTTTTTAAAAAAACTGAGGATATAATAGGATTTTAATTATATTAAAGCATATGTCACCAATTTTGAATTTAGAATGCATAGATGGACAAATGTTTAAATATTTATCCTTTATTTCTAATTTTCCCGTTTTTAGTTATCAATATGTATATACTATTTTATGCCAATTCTTTTTACTTACTAGATTTGAGTCATTTGACACATATCAAATAATTTTCTCCACTTTTTTTATATTGCTTTCACCATTTCTTTTTCAAATTCGTTTACTTAATGAGTGTTATTTAAGCATGGATTTTAATATAGTTATTATTTTCTTACATCTAATTTATTCATTTATATGAAATCGGATGCAAGAGTTGGCAAACTTTTTCATCACCGCCAAGCGCCAAGATATGTAGCGTAAATGTGCAGTTACGTTGGTAGGTATAGACCCGATGCATGAAAGACATGGAGGCCTATGAGATGAGAAGTGCAACTTGACAGAAATATACTTAACTGAATATCATGCTTATTTGCTTAAATCTCTCATACTCTTTGAACAAATAGGTAATGTTGTCGTAGTTATGACTAGTTACCGTTGTGATCTGATGGCGTAGGTACCCTTAACTAGTGTCTGGCGCGTTGTAACTTGTAACACTTCTCTTAATTAGTGTGTGCCCTGAGTCAATAGAAAATAGCTTGCCCAACAGAAGTGTAATGTTATCTCTAGTAGCAACAGAAGGAGATAGTCCCAGTTCCCCTTGTTTTTCCAACAGGAATGGTGCTGTTTCCGCAAAAATATATTGCTTGATGAACTAAACAAAATTCATTAACTTACACATCTACGAAAATATAAATATTGAACAATTGAAAAATAGTTCTTCTGTATAATCGCAGCGATTGCGACCGGCAACCAAGAATACAGCTTTACTTCTCCTTCAATTCTTCTATATCTCTCATTTTTTCTTGTCGCAACGACTTAATTTCAGGATTTCAGAGTCACTCAAATTAATAGCGACACTACCCATGCCTTTAATTTGAAGCTGCGACTGTCGCGAGTTTGAAAACCATGTACAGATCTCGACGGAGAAGACGATAGAGAAGATAATTTACATAAAAAAAAATGAACTTTAATTGGGAATTAGCAAAATTTACAATTGTACCCTTGAAAACCCATATAATTACATAAGCAGTTGTTAATGAAAAAGTCTCAGGGAGAGTCGCACACTCTAAAAAGAACACGGCCGAAATTAACTAAAGTCAGACAATCCTTTAATTAAACTACAAATAGAGAATACTGCTGACATAGCAACATGAGCCAGAGGCATAACATATGTTTTTGAAAGCACAATTACCAACGTCATCAAAAATATTGTCTACGAGTCCTTCAACTCTAACTCTTCTTTCCATCATCTTCTCTACATCGTAACAGAAAATCTCAAAAGGATCAGAGAACCACAGTGGAACATACACAATCTCTCCAGCAGCAATGATCCCCGCAAAGTGCAAGCTCAAATCCAAAAAAAATGAACGGGTGAAAGAAGGAAGGACAAAAGTCTTATGTGACCAAACTTGATTCTTAACATCATCAATGTTATAATACGCAGCTAACTTCCCAAGGTAGTTTGTTAGGACACCTGCCAATTTTTCAGGTGTTTTAATGAGACGTAGTTGCTCGGACCCAACATCAAAACTACTCACTGCCTTGCATTTATTGATCCATGGATTCAAGCAAACATCGTAATACACAATTCCATCAATGTATACTCCACTATTATTATAATTATAATAGTGGATATCGCTTTCGACGCGCCTCCATGAGTAAGAAGATTGTTGACCTCCCAACGTGCATACACTATGTTCAATAACTAAACTAGTGTGTTGCTTCATCACCAGGCACAATACTTTGTATTGAGCATTGCTTCGGGTGTACGGGTGTATCCCAAGTACATTTTATGTAGTTTATAATCAGTAGGATTGTCGTCTTCGGGTAAGACCATGACTTGTCTTGTGGTTGGATTACATACCACGAAACGACGCTGATTGAGGAAACAACATATGAAGCCACGAATTGAATTACTCTGCATGATGTAATCAGAAGACTTGACTTTTGGCATCGTCAATGAGTTCTTTTTGGCGGCTACCAATGATGATGATGATGAAAGAGAACAACTTTGAGGAGGTGAGGCGAAGAACATCAATCGATCGTCACCACTATGATTGAAACCAAGGAGGAGACGAGGTCGTGACATTGACATGAAAGCTTCACTGAATTGTCGGCTACCGATGATCGAACACCATGTCTTTGACACACATATGAATCTGAAAATGGATTTTGACGGCCATGCTTTCCAAATGGGTTGAAACCATCAGTACACAGACCGAGGTAAACATTCCTACTTTCATCTGCAAAACTTGGATACATAGTTTGAAAATGTTTCCTTTGCAAGTTACTTGTTCTGCTTCCAGCCCTTGCAGATTGGATTCCAGAACTGTAGTGATTTCGAAGATACTAGCAAACCGGTTAAAAGAGTTGCTCCCGGAGATCATATTATCAAATCAAACAGCTTTTGTAAAAGACCGTTTACTGATGGAAAACGTCTTACTTGCCTTTGAATTGGTAAAAGATTACCATAAAGAAGAGATATCGCCTCGTTGTGCGATGAAGATAGATATCTTCAAAGCTTTTGATTCGGTTCAATGGTCTTTCTTGCTCAACACGTTGCAGGCTCTGAACTTCCCAGAAAAATTTAATCACTGGATCCGGTTATGTGTAACAACAGCAACGTTTTCGGTACAAGTTAACGGTGGGCTTGCGGGTTTTTTTGGTACCACTCGGGGATTAAGACAGGGCTGTGCTCTCTCACCCTACTTGTTTGTTATCTGCATGAATGTACTATCGCACTTGATTAACAAAGCAGCGGCGGAGAATAAATTTGGTTACCATCCACGGTGCCAAAAGGTTCTCTTAACGCATATATGTTTTGCGGATGATTTAATGATTTTTGCAGAAGGAACAAAGCGTTCAGTGGAGGGTATTATCACTATTTTTGACGAGTTTGCTAAAATCTCGGGTCTGAAAATAAGTTTGGAGAAGTCTAATCTATACATGGCCGGAATCCAACAAACCACTCAAGAAGAGATTCTGCAAAATTTCCCTTTTGAAGCGGGAACTCTTCCAGTGCGTTACCTCGGGTTACCACTCATGACAAAAGCAATGACCAGCAGTGACTATCTTCCTCTCACGGAGAAGATACGGAACCGAATTAGTACATGGACAAGCAGATTTCTTTCATATGGAGGAAGACTGCAGCTTATAAAATCAGTTCTTATGAGCATCACAAACTTCTGGTCATCGGCGTTTCGTCTACCAGGAAAGTGTATGAAGGAAATTGAAAAACTATGTTCTGCTTTCTTGTGGAGTGGACCAGAATTAAAGACTCACAGTGCAAAGGTAGCATGGCAAGTAGTTTGTCTTCCCAAGGGTGAAGGAGGCTTAGGTCTCAGGCCACTAAAGGAAACAAATACAGTTTGCGGTCTAAAGCTAATATGGAGGCTGCTCGCAGCTAATACGTCTTTGTGGGGACAATGGGTTCACACATATCTAATCCGTAACAAGTCTTTCTGGATCATTGGGTCATCTATTCAGGGATCATGGATGTGGAGAAAGTTACTTAAACTACGAGAGGTAGCAAAACAGTTCCATAGGATGGAAATCAAGAGTGGAAGAAACACATCTTTTTGGTATGACAGATGGACTCCTATGGGGACGATGGTGGATATGCTCGGGGATAGGGGCTGTATAGACCTCAGCATTGCTAAAAATGCAAGTGTTGAAACTGTCCTAAGCAACCATCGACGAAGGCATCACCGGCAAGACCTGTTAAACCGAATTGAAACAGAATTAGAGAAAGCAAAAGAGAAAAGACAGCCCACTGTCGATGATGTCAACTTATGGAAATGTCGAGCGGGTTTCAAGAGGAAGTTTTTCACTTGCGAAACATGGAAGCTCATTCGAACGGCGAGCCAGGTTTGTGAATGGGCAAAGGGCGTGTGGTTCCCGCAAGCCACACCGAAGTTTGCGTTCATAACTTGGCTGGAAATGCATAATCGACTCTCTACGGGAGATCGAATGTTGAAATGGAATCAAGGTGCTAACTCAGCTTGTGTCTTTTGTCAAGAACCGGTGGAGACTAGAAACCACATTTTCTTCAGCTGCAGCTACTCGCATCAGATTTGGGAACAAACAACAAAGGGTCTCCTAGGACATCTTTACACGTCCCAATGGAACCAAATCAAGTCACTTGTTTCAAGTTCAACTCTCGACAACCGAACTCTGCTGCTCCTACGGTACTCTCTTCAGGTCGCTGTCCACTCCATTTGGAGAGAACGGAATAATCGCAGACATGGCGAAGCTCACATCCCAGCTCCTCGCCTTGGCCAAATGATAGGGAAAACAATTCGAAACAAGATAACACTTCTTCGCTGCTCGGGAAACCAAAAATATGATGACCTCCTCATGTAGGCCTGGGCAAAATACCCGGAACCGAATACCCGAACCGAAAAACTCGAACAATACCCGAACCGAACCCGAACCCGATTTTTAAAAATACCCGAATGGGTCCTAACCTCCTACCCGAAAAAAACCCGAACCGAACCCGAACCGAATCCAATACCCGAATGTACCCGAATGTACCCGAATACAAATATACACCTATAAATATTAGTTATATTTATATTTATAATACCCGAAATACCTAAAATTACAATCATAAATCCGAATATATTAGGTATTTTAGATATTTTTGGTTATATTTGGGTAAAGAGTAACTATTGTATTTTCGATAAATCGAGTATTTCGGTTAGATTTGGGTATATATGAGTTAAAAACCCGAACCCGACCCGAACCCGAAAATATTTCGGGTATTTTTGGTTATTTTCGGGTATTTTGCTTTTTTTATTAAAATACCCGAACCGACCCGAACCCGAACCGAACCCGAACCAAATTTTTAGAATACCCGAATGGGTCTTGACCCCCTACCCGAATAGACCCGATACCCGAAAAAAAAGAACCGAACCCGAACGGGTACCCGAATGCCCAGGCCTATCCTCATGTTTTGGTTTTCTACTCAAAATTAAATTGTACCTTAAATCAGAGTCTTCTATAAACTTGAAACTGAAACACTTGTTGTAACACCGGTTTTTTGATTGAATAAATTTTACATTCTTTCAAAAAAAAAAAAAAAATGTTTCCATGCCTCTGCATCAGAGGGATGTGCAATTTCGCCTTCGTTAGAATGCTCTTTGTGCCATCTCATTGCCCCTGCTGTGCGCTCAGAATGGTATAACCTTTTCAACCTATCAGCTAATGGCAAATACCACATACGCTTAAACGGCACTCGAGCCCTTCCACTAGTCTCTTGAAACCGTGCCTTTCCACAAAATCGACAATGTAAGTACTGTGCGTCTGATTGCCAGTAAATCATACAGTTATCGATACAGACATCGATCGTCTGATATGGCAAACCTAGACCAGAAACAAGCTTCTCAATTTCATTATAAGAACCCGGTGCGATGTTGTCTTCTGGCAATATCTCTTTGACAAAATCGGCCCAAGCATCTACACAATCTTCAGACAAATTGTAATCCGTCTTTATATTCATCATCCGTGTTGCAGCGAATAAAGGAGAATGTCCTTCGCGACAACCTTCATATAACGGTGTCATCGATGCATCCAACATTTCATAAAATCTTTTTGCTTCTATATTTGGTTCTTCTCCTCTATTTTCTTCGCCTGGAAACGACTGCATATTTTCCCTATATGCATCGTGAACCATTTGAACCGTGCCTACCGCCTCTGCTGGGAATGTAGATTCTTCTACCCTATCTGAAATATTTCCACTACTACTACCCACGTCGTATGTTTCACATTCCCCGTGATAATACCAGACTTTGTAACTAGGCAATATTCCGTCTCTATATAAGTGAGACCATACTAAACCCTTATCTATGAAATTATTATTATTACATACTGGACAAGGACAAAACATCATACCAGTTGTTAAGCATGACTCCTGATTTCCTGCGAGGGTCATGAATTCGGTGAGGCCGGCCGCATACTCCGTCGTCAGCAATGAGTTTGATGCAAATCTTTCCTTGTCCATCCATGCCCGAAAACGATGCATAACTTGTAATCAATATATAATATATACATATATATATATAATATTTTCGATTTTATTATATAAAAAAACCTTTTGTATTTTTTTTTTCTCATAAATGTTTTTTGTGTTTTTTTTATAATAAATTTTTTCTCTTTTAAGATATTGTTTTTCTTTTTTTGTAATGTTTTTTTTTCAAGAGGAGTTGATATTGTTGTAATGTTAACGAATGTGAAATGCGTCTATTTATAAAGAATTTTTTTTTTCCTATAGTTTACCTATGAATTTCCTACCAAAATATACACTATTACACCAACCTAGTAATCAACACGTTATTTACCTACAACACACACCACCAACCAAACTACAAACGTGTTAATAAAAAGCCCTACGCTTATCCTTCAAATTTCCTACCAATTATTTCCCCATTAGTTTCCTTCGCATTTCCTACGAAATTTCCTACGAAGTTCTGTTCGTAAGAAATTGGACGGAAATATTCCCACGAATTTCCTACCAAAATTTTCCTTCACCTTTCATTCCATTTTCCTACGAAATTTTCTACGATATTATTTTCCGTAGGAATTTCGTAGGAACTTTCCTACAAACATCTCACGGATTTTGGCGTAGGGAATTCCTTTCGAATTTCCTACGAAAAATACGTTTCGTAACAAATGTGTAGGAATTTGGTAGGAAGTTTTTCCTACCAAATATTTGGTAGGAAATTTTGTAAGAAAACCCTATGTTTTCTTGTAAGGATCTCAATCATCATATCAAGAGGGATGTTATTTTCGATAGATGCCATCATTCCTTCTTTGTTCTCCCTTCTTAGTCTTTGCATGTATTTTTTATAGACACACACAAACCCTAGACTTAAAGTTGACTCTTAGGCCTAAATATCTAGCTAAGTAGTGTTAATAATGAAAAGTCTTATTTAATGAATTTACTGTAATAACTTAATATGGAGGATAATGATTAATTTTACTAATTAGTTATCATATTTTTAGCGTTAATATATGTTATATGTTTTGTATTTATATTTGATATATACTTGCTGAAAATCCTGCAAAGTATGTAGTTGACAAAAAAATCCAAATAATCGGTTCAATTCGGTAGAATTTCATTAACCAAAATAAACCGAAAATCCAACCGAAGCGAACAGCTCTATTTGGTTAATTTTGGTGGTATCGTCTGCTAACCGAAGAAACCGGCTCAGGTTCAGTTTGGTTAATCGAACCCGCAAGGCTAGAGGCCTAGAGCAAACAAACATACCACATAAATAACGGAAAATTTGCCAAATCTACCACTTTCTCAAGTTTTTCCTACAAAAATGCCATATTTTAAAAAACTTTTCCTCCATACCACTTTGTAAAATTGGAAATGACCATTTACTCCTTATTTTCTCCACAAACACTCACACAAATATCTTCTTTTTTTTTTTTTTATCGTTTCATGCTCTCTCCCTCTTCCTCTCTCTCTTCATCCTATTCCTTTCTCTACTTCTCTTTTTCCTTTCCTTTCTCTGTTTAGATCTAAGATTTGTTTGAAGTTAATTAGATCTATTTCCATCTCCACCATCGTCTTCTTCTCTTCTATATCACCACTGTGGATAAAAAAATTCAGATCTATAAATTTTGATATCCTCAAGAATAGATCTTTTAGTTTTCCTATCTAAATCAAGTTCATTCTCCCATCTAAATTTGACGATTCACTGGTTTTAATTTTGTTTTTAATTGGTTATTCAATTTCGATATTATGCATATTAAATGTTTGTTGTCTACGAGAGAAAAAAGAAGACGAAGATGTCTAGTAGAAAACTGAAGACGAAGAAAAAGATGTCTACGAGGAAACCGAAGATGTATATTGTCCATTATTCTTATATCAATCAACATATATTGTCTACTATTATTATATCAATCAACATATAGTTCTAATACTTCGTCATTTTGGCCAGACAGAGAAGAAGATGTTTACGAGGAAACCAAAGATGTTGTGGACAATATCATTGATGTGAATCTGAAATGTTGTCCACTTAAGTAATAGACTAATAGGAATCTGATTACATTTTTTTGTCCATGCTTTTATTACTTTAAAAATATTGTCCATTTACCAGATTAAAAATTTCAAGCAAACGTTATCGACGATTATTGGTCCAAGATGTATATATATGGTTTTTTTTGTCCATGCGAAGCAGATACTACAGACTTATTTGTATTTATTTCATGATATATGTATATACTTATAATTTTTAGTTTGGTGGACAAATTTAGACATGTATATTTGGTTGTTGTCCATATATGTGTGTGATATCATCTTTGACGAATCTATTTCGATGAATTGATAATGCTGGACAAAAAATATTAAAATAAAGCAAAAAAAGAAAATAAAAATATGTTTTGCTTCCCATTAATACAAGGGTATTTTGGTCTTTTCATATTATTTCTACCATAAGAAAATGGTAGTTTTGAGGAGTTTACACAAATGTTGTATTTTTGTTAAGGGTCCCAGCTTTTTGTGGTAGAATTCATAGTTTTCCCCATAAATAACATAAAAATGTCATTTTGAGGTTTTCGTTTACAAAACGCAAAACAGAGCAGATAAGATAAACCCTCCTTCTTTAACCGAAGGTTCAATCGCCGGCGAATTCCGATGTTCTCCGCCGTCGCCAAACCCTTCCTCTCTCCTTCACCACCGCTATTTCGCCTTCCTCTTTCTTCTATCTCAATTTCCTTCCGCGTTTTCCCCTCATTCTTCTCCTCCTCCCCATCCTCCTCTTCCTCTCTCCTTCCGTCTCCTCAATCTTCTGATCCAATTACGCCTCTCCTATCCTCGGGCCTTAACTATAGTCGCCATGCGTTTCTCCTCGACCAATACCTCTCATGTTCCATGCCTGAGAAGCCTCTTCGTGTCGCCGTCCTCCTCAGTGGCGGCGTCGATAGCAGTGTCGCTCTCCGTCTCCTCCACGCCGCTGGTCACTCCTGTACAGCTTTCTATCTCAAAATCTGGTTTCAGGTGTGCTTCTTCTTCTTCGCAATTGCTTGTTAGAACCATAGACATATATGGGTTTGTGATGTTTCAATGTTCTGTAGGAAGGCTTTGAGAATTTCTGGAATCAGTGTCCTTGGGAAGATGATTTGAAGTATGCTAAGCATGTTTGTGAGCAGGTAGTGTTCTTGATTATCTTGATTCTGTGATTATCTTCAAGATTCTTGCTTGTTCCAAAAGGTTCATGCTTGTTTTAAAAGGTTCATGCTTGTTTCAAAAGGTTCATCCTTTTTATACTTAACAATGAAAGGACGATGTTTACTGTTTCTAGTGGTGCCATTTTATAGGTTGATGTTCCTTTGGAGGTTGTGCATTTAACAGATGAATATTGGGAAAGAGTTGTAAGTTCTTTCTTTGTTGCTTCTTTCTAAAATGGTAATAATTTGGGTTGCTGATTGGATTTCCAACTATAAATCAGGTTTCCTACATTATTGAGGAGTATCGGTGTGGACGTACACCTAATCCGGATGTTCTATGTAATACTAGAATTAAGTTCGGTAAGCTCTTCAGTGCAATAGTTTGTGATCAAGAGTTTTCGCCCATGAAGAAAGACTTCTGCTTTCAGTTGAAGTGTATATGCTAATTTGACTAATCAGCTATAGATTGACCTTATATTTTCAGGTGCATTCATGGATGCAATCAGTGATATGGAGTATGACTATGTAGGTTCAGGTCATTATGCTAAAGTGGTTCATCCTCCTGTTGACCAAAATGATGCATCATCTGTTTTGGAACTATCACAAGACATGGTATAAAACACTCTTGACTTAATCTTTCTGATCAGCATATTTAATGTTTGCATTGTACCTACTGTTGTTGGCTACTAATGCGTCGTAAATGCATTACTTTTATTTTCAGTACCTGTACCATTTTATAGTCTGTATTTTTCGATTGTTTAGGTGAAGGATCAGACCTACTTCCTCTCACATCTCTCTCAAACCCAGCTTAAGCGACTGATTTTCCCACTTGGTTGTGTAAAAAAGGTACTCGAGGAAGTTCTAGCTTTCCAGAATTGGGAGAGATTTTAGTCTTATACCTCTGGTCGATTCCGAAACGTGAAAAAAGGTTAAGAATGAAAACATTTTGATTTCTTCGTGGTGATTGTCATACTTGTTTTCTGATGTACAGGACGAAGTTCGCAAACTAGCCACACAATTCGATTTGCCAAATAAAGATAGAAAGGATTCGCAAGGAATTTGTTTCCTTGGAAAGGTATATTTTTTTAGTTTGTTCTTCTGGTTAGTGACTGTTTGTGCAAGTCTGAAAGATAAGAACATGGTTTTCTGTAATAGATAAAGTTCAGCGACTTTGTCTGTGCACACATAGGAGAGATGGAAGGAATTATATTGGAAGCCGAAACTGGGGATTTTCTTGGTAACCACCGGGGATTTTGGTTTTACACAATTGGACAACGCCAAGGCTTGCGTTTACCCGGTGGGCCCTGGTATGTTTCTTAAAAGATGTTTGAAATTCGAAGCTATTTCTGTCGTTGGTTGAGATACCAGCTTTTGGCTCATATGATAATTAAAAGCAGCTTCTGGTTCTTAATGTATGAACGCTTCATTAGTATCGAGAAAACAATTTTGCTGAACTTCTCATCACATGCCGAGTATAATTTCTTTTAGATCTTTAATTTTGGCCGTGATATCCCTTTATTCATGTGCAGGTATGTTGTTGAAAAGGACACCAAGAACAACGTAGTGTTTGTCTCCAGAAATTACTACTCAATCGACAAGAGAAGGCGGATTTTCCGTGTTGGCTCCTTAAGATGGCTTAGTGGGAAACCTTCAGGCAATGTTAGAGAGCTCCGTTGCAAGGTAAACAATATGATCAGTTACTTTCTACACATGATAGTCTACTTGGCACTGAATGTTGAGAGCGGCTTTTATAGGTCCGACATGGGCCTAGCTTCTACAGCTGCAGTTTTGAAATGGAAGCAGACGGAGATGTTGCAGTTGTGCACCTAGACGAAGACGATCAAGGTCTAGCTGCTGGACAGTTTGCAGCGTTTTACGAGGGAACCACTTGCATTGGTTCAGGCGTAATTCTGGAGTCATGGGACGATCAGTGTTTCCCAGTCTGTGCAAAAGCCCTTCAACTTGCAGCGATGGAAGATAAAACCAAACTCGGGAAACCTGTCAAAATCAGGACAATGCCACTTACGTTATCTGTCGAGGCTGATTCAGGAGAATCCAGTGCAGAAGAAAAGCTGGTTAATGCATGAGAGACGTAATGCTAGGAATGGTGCAGTGCTCAGTTATCACCCAGAAACTCTGTAGATCCGAAGTTTTTGCTGATAGTCGATAACAACATAAGACATACCACTACGAGCTTCCGGATTTGATGGGAATGTTGTATTGTACATAAGGTATACTGTTTAAAATAATTTGACCTTAACATACGCACACGTCTCCATGTGTTTGTCAACTTACTTCGTGGGAGAGCTTTACATACGCACACGTCTCCATATGTTTGTCAACTAAAATATTCTAAGAGAGAGAGAGAGAGAGAGACAGAGCATGATGGGCTTAATATATAGCTTGAAAAACGCTCTTGCATCGAAACAAACAACAATGATGTTCCTTATTCTCATTTCTCTAATCCCCCAAAAAGAATTTGAGAACAGGGAAAACAAAAACAGAACAGTCATTCTCTGTTGGTGTGTCTCATACATGACAATCCCTGCTGCTCTTGTCTTTATCCCTGTTGGCATCCTCTTCTTGGTCTCAGGGCTCATCGTCAACAGCATTCAGGTCATTCATTTTTGTTCATGGAAAACATGCTTTTTACTCTGATACCAAAAGAAATTCATTTTCATTGTCTTCTCAATGGAAGAGACAGAGCTGAAACATTGAATGTTCTTTAATATCTGTAATAGAATTGAAATTTGTATCAACTTAAGGTTTTGGAAACATTTCCCTGTTTTCAGCTTGTGTTCTTCATCATTGTTCGTCCATTCTCAAGAAGTTTGTATAGAAGAATCAACAAAAATGTTGCGGAATTACTTTGGTTGCAGCTCATATGGTTGTCTGATTGGTGGGCTTGTATAAAGGTTGGTGATTTCATGAATCTTGTTGTTGTTTACATAGATGTATCATAATAGTCTGATATGTGATATGTGATGTTGTTGTTGCAGATCAATTTATACGCTGATGCAGAGACTCTAGAGTTAATTGGTAAAAAATAATCAAAGAGCTTATGAAACCTAATTCTTAAGTATTTGAATATAATGATTCTTGTTCATGATATTAAATTTCAGGGAAAGAACATGCACTTGTCTTAAGCAATCATCGAAGTGACATTGATTGGCTTATTGGATGGGTCATGGCTCAGGTGTTTCTGTCTTTCTCTACAACATGATTTTTTTTATAATTAATTTGGAGAAATCATTGTCTCTGATTGATTAATAGTAATCATATAACAGCGTGCAGGTTGTCTTGGAAGCTCTTTAGCCATCATGGCGAAAGAAGCCAAGTATCTTCCAGTGAGTTCTTTCGATCTTTCTTGTTTTTAGTTTACTCTCTATAATTTACTGAAACACTACAAGTCTTTTACAGATCATAGGTTGGTCGATGTGGTTTTCGGATTACATTTTCTTGGAAAGAAGTTGGGCTAAAGATGAGAATACCCTCAAGGTTAATTTTGCGCTGTTTCTGTCTTGTGCTTAAATTTGATTATGTTTGATGTGCTTGAAACATCCTTTTGTTTTGCTTCTTGCAGGCAGGTTTTAAACGACTTGAGGACTTTCCTATGACATTTTGGCTAGCTCTTTTCGTTGAAGGAACTCGTTTCACTCAAGAGAAGCTTGAAGCTGCTCAAGATTACGCCTCTATCAGAAGCTTACCATCACCTCGAAATGTTCTGATTCCTCGTACAAAGGTGAGTTTCACCTAAAACTTGTTTTTTCAGGTTATTATGAGCGTTACTTCACTTGGAATTACGTAGAATGCAAAATCAGGGATTTGTTTCAGCGGTATCTCAAATACGGTCATTTGTTCCTGCAATTTATGACTGCACCTTTACCGTTCATAACAATCAGCCTACACCAACTCTGCTTAGGATGTTCAGTCGACAATCATCTGAGGTTACAAAATATTCAAATGTGTTTGTGTTTTTTTTTTTTTTTCTTCACATAGAAGCCTATGCTCACTATATCATAAACTCTTTGTTTCTTCTTTCTTGAAGGTAAATTTGCAGATGAGACGTCACAAAATGAGCGAGTTGCCAGAAACCGATGATGGCATAGCACAATGGTGCCAAGATCTATTTATCACCAAGGTTCACCAACAATATTCTACTCATCGAAATTTCCTATTTACGCTAAAGTTCATCTCGCTACATTGCTTGCTTATTGCTTACTTTTAAAATCAGGATGCTCAACTTGAGAAATACTTCACAAAAAACGTATTTAGCGACTTGGACGTTCACCAAATCAACCGGCCAATCAAACCATTGATCGTAAGAAACATCACACATCAGGATTACCGCAAAATGCTATTAAATTGATTCTCTTATAAAATCTGGTAATGTTGTTGGAAACAGGTGGTCATCATTTGGTTGTGTCTTCTTATATACGGTGGTTTTAAGCTATTCCAATGGCTTTCCTTAGTGGCCTCGTGGAAGATCATTCTTTTGTTTGTGTTCTTCTTGGTGATTGCAACTATAACAATGCAAGTACTTGTTCAAACGTCTGAGTCACAACGTTTCACTCCTGCCAAGAGACCTTTAGAAGAACAGCTTATTTCTGCCTAGTAATAAAGAAACCTCTGTTTAAGCCATAGATTTTACATTGCATTGTTCCTTCAATCAACGATAATTGTTGGTGTTAGTGTGTAACAATTAAACTGTTTATATATCTAGTTCTATCATTTAGTCAACAACCAAATGTTCATTGTGAAATTTATGTTTCCAAATGTTTGTATTAAAAAAGTAACTATAAAATCTGACTTTGTGAAATATCAGCTCGTTGTCATTACATAGCCTTTCTAACTTTTCTTTGAGCCTACCTATTGTTTTCACAGAAAAAGTTCACTCTACAAATTTTAAAATATTTGATAGTTTAATTTGGTATTAGATTGTACATTAAACATTTTTTCAAACGGTATCTCAAAAAGTCAAAATGTAGAGCTTTTGGTACGAAATGAGTTACATAGGATCTGGATAAATGTAACCAAGAAATTTTTATCTCTGATTTGTGAAAGTCTCTCGCAGACTGTTGGAGATATGCTTTGAGATATTTGTTATATATGCGTTTTGATATTTATTGGAACCAAAGGTCAAGTGGTGCAGTTTTTAGTGCATTGCATAACTGATGTTTTTCTTTGGCGCCAAAGCTGCTCCGTCTTAGAGGTAATCTCAGCTCAGCCCTCCTCCCTTGTGGAGAGAATCGTTTCAAAGTCTTTTAGTTTTCTCTAACTGGTTCACGCCGGAAACCATTGAAGCTAAAGAATCTTCTTCAACGTCACGAATTCTTTTGAAAGTATTGTTAAGCTCCCCGAATGTTTCGCGGAGGTGTCTTTGACGCACCACGATCTCGCTTGTGACATGTTGCGTTTTAACTTCTGTCATCCTATGGATTTATCCCCTATGTTTCATACTTTCTCAATCTTTCTAGCTACCTATGTTGTAAGCTTGCTCTCATTTTTCCTTATGTACCCAACCATTAGGGTTGATGCTTTATAGGTCCGACATGGGCCTAGCTTCTACAGCTGCAGTTTTGAAATGGAAGCAGACGGAGATGTTCCAGTTGCTGCAGGACAGTTTGCAGCGGGAACCACTTGCATTGGTTCAGGCGCAATTCTGTTGAGGCTGATTCAGGAGAATCCAGTGCAGAAGAAAAGCTGGTTAATGCATGAGAGACCCACTGCAAGGAATGGTGCAGTACTCTGTTACCACTACGAGCATCAGGATTTGATGGGAATGTTGTATTATATATGAGGTATACTGTTAAAAATAATTTCATCTCCTTATGAGATATGAGTTAATAATACAACAATTTTTGTTATTATTTAGTTGCATTTTATTCTACTAATTCATGGGAGAGCTTTACATGCGCACATGTCTACATGTGTTTGTCAACTAAAATATTGTAAGAGAGAGAGAAAGACAGAGCTTGATGGGCTTAAAATAGAGCTTGAATAACGCTCATCAAAACAACAATGATTTTCCTCATTTTCATTTCTCTAATCTCCCAAAAAGAATTTGAGAACAGGGAAAACAAAAAGATAACAGTCATCCTCTGTTGGTGTCTTCTCCAACAATTTTTGGTATTGTCCTGTTGCTGCTTTGTGTTGTTCCTTCTCTCTCTCAGACATGAAGATCCCTGCGGCTCTTGCCTTTATCCCTGTTGGTGTCCTCTTCTTGATCTCAGGGCTCATCGTCAACATCATTCAGGTCATCCATTTTTGTTTGTCGAAAACATGATTTTTACTCTGATGTCTTCTCAATGGACGAGACACAGCTGAAACATTTTATGTTCTTTATAATATGTCTGTTATAGAATTGAAATTTGTGTCAACTAAAGGTTTTGGAAACATTTTCTTTGTTTCCAGCTTGTGTTCTTTATCATTGTTCGTCCATTCTCAAGAAGTTTGTATAGAAGAATCAACAAAAATGTTGCGGAATTACTTTGGTTGCAGCTCATATGGTTGTTTGATTGGTGGGCTTGTATAAAGGTTGGTGATTTTCATGAAATCTTGTTGTGGTTTACATAGAGGTATCATAGTCTGATATGTGATATGTGTTGTTGTTGTTGCAGATCAATTTATACGCTGATGCGGAGACTCTAGAGTTGATTGGTAAAGATCAGTTTTATGCAAACTAAGTCTTTAAGTATTTGAATCTAATGATTCCTGTTCTTGATTTTGAATTTTAGGGAAAGAACATGCACTTGTCTTAAGCAATCATCGAAGTGACATTGATTGGCTTATTGGATGGGTCATGGCTCAGGTGTTTCTATCTTTCTCTAAAACATGAAATTTTTTTGGTTAAGTTGGAGAAATCATTGTCTCTGATTGATTATTATTAATCATATAACAGCGTGCAGGTTGTCTTGGAAGCTCTTTAGCCATCATGAAGAAAGAAGCCAAGTATCTTCCAGTGAGTTCTTTTGATCTTTGTTGAATTTTCTTCTTTTTAGTATACTCTCTATAATTTACTCAAACACTACAAGTCTTTCGCAGATCATAGGTTGGTCAATGTGGTTTTCGGATTACATTTTCTTGGAAAGAAGTTGGGCCAAAGATGAGAATACCCTCAAGGTTAATTTTGCATTGTTTCTTTCTTGTGCTTCAATTTGTTCTGTTTGATGTGCTTGAAACATCCTTCTGTGTTACTTCTTTGCAGGCAGGTTTTAAACGACTTGAGGACTTTCCTATGACATTTTGGTTAGCTCTTTTCGTTGAAGGAACTCGTTTCACTCAAGAGAAGCTTGAAGCTGCTCAAGATTACGCCTCTATCAGAAGCTTACCGTCTCCTCGAAATGTTCTGATTCCTCGTACAAAGGTGAGTTTCACCTAAACTTGTTTTTTTCAGGTTATTATGAGCTTTACTTCACTTGGATTTACATAGATATGCAAAATCAGGGTTTTGTTTCGGCGGTGTCTCAAATACGGTCATTTGTTCCTGCAATTTATGACTGTACCTTAACTGTTCATAACAATCACCCTACACCAACTCTGCTTAGGATGTTCAGTGGACAATCATCTGAGGTTACAAAATATTCAAATGTGTTTTTTTTTCACATAGAAGCCTAGGTTCAGCACTATATCAGAAACTCTCTCTTTCTATTTTCTTGAAGGTGAATTTGCTGATGAGACGTCACAAAATGAGTGAGTTGCCAGAAACCGATGATGGTATTGCACAATGGTGCCAAGATCTCTTTATCACGAAGGTTCACCAACATTCTCCTCATCAAACTTTTCAATTTTCTGCTAAAATTCATGTCGCTACATTGCTTACTTTTTAATTCAGGATGCTCAACTTGAGAAATATTTTACAAAAGACGTTTTCAGCGACTTGGAAGTTCACCAAATCAACCGGCCAATCAAACCATTGATCGTAAGAAACATCACACATCGGGAATACCGCAATATGCTATTAAATTGATTCTCTAATGAAACCTGGTAATGTTGTTGGAAACAGGTGGTCATCATTTGGTTATGTCTTCTAATATTCGGTGGTTTCAAGCTACTCCAATGGCTCTCCATAGTGGCCTCGTGGAAGATCATTCTTTTGTTTGTGTTCTTCTTGGTGATTGCAACTATAACAATGCAAGTACTAATTCAATCGTCTGAGTCACAACGTTCCACTCCTGCCAAGAGACCTCTACAAGAACAGCTTATTTCTGCCTAGTACAAAAGAAACCTCTGTTTTAGCCACATATTTTACATTGCATTGTTCCTTCACTCAACCATTTAAACATAATTGTTTTTGTTAGTGTGTAACAATTGAACTGTCTATATATCTAGTTCTATCATTTAGTCATGTCTAGTAAACAACCAAATGTTCAGTGTGAAATTTATGTTAAATTTTATGTTTCCTAATGTTTGATTTAAAATAACTATCAAATTTTACTTTGTGAAATATCAGCTCATTGTCATTACATAGCCTTGTAACTTTCCTTTGAGCCTATTGTTATCACATAAAAAGTTCACTTTACAAATTTTAAAAATATTTGATAGTTTGGTATCTAGAGATTGTACATTCAACATTTTTTTCAAACGGTTTCTCAAAATATTGAGCTCTTCCTACGAAATAAGTTACATCAGATCTCGATAAATGTAACCAAGAAATTTTTATCTCTGTGTGATTAGTCACGGCAGTCTTTTCAATATACATAGCACACAACTCTTGGAGATATGTTTTGAGATTTTTTTTTTAATATATGCGTTTTGATATTTATTGGAACCAAAGGTCAAGTGGTGAAGTTTTTAGTGTATTGCATAACTGATGTTTTTCTTTGTGATTTTATGATTTCAAACCTACGTTCGGATAAAAATAGCATGGTAATGAGTGGACTAAATTATCAAATTCTCGTCGATTGAAGGAAAAAAATTATCAAATTCTCGTCGATTTAAGGTAAACATCCTTTCGTCCTCAATTAGGGACACACCATTTTGTTGCTAGCTTAGCAACGAATGTGTAATTTAATTACTTAATTTATTTAGTAATTAGTACGATGTCACTAATTCATCGCAAAAGAAGCTTGGATTATCGGGTATTCATTCGAAGACTAAACTAATTTTTCGTATTTCTCGTAGCTTCAACTACACCAGTACCCACTAACTAATGAAAGAATCCGATAGGAGGTTACATTGCAAAAACAAATTACTAACGTCTCACAACTAGCTTAAAGTTTCGAACATTGGCCATTGTATGTGAATGGTGCTCATTTTTATACGTCCAAGCATCACGAAGAAAATAAAGGGAAGAACTACAACAAACCTTACATCAATAAATGTTTTAGAATAGAAGAAAAAAGGAAAACAGAAATCAAACTCTACACTGAAATGGAAGATTATTTAGTGTGTTTTAAACCAAAAAAAAAGGTTATAAGATATTTTGCTGTAAAAAAAAGTTTATAATGTATTCAAATGAATCCATCACAAAGCTGATACAAAACTGGAATTTATAGTTACATTTGAAGGGTTTTGATGAAGAGGCTCACAAATGGAGAAGAATCAATGTTGTAACCATGGGAGGAGAAAAGAAGACAGCAAAATTAATGAAATCCATAAAGGGTCATTCTGGTCGGGAAAAGAGAACATAAGTATATGTTCTTGGATGTGGAAAGAGTTGCTGAAATATAGTGAAATTGTGAAATCTTTGCACAAGGTGGAAGTATAAAATGGATGCTCTACGTCGTTTTGGTATGATGACTGGTCGCAAATTGGGCAGACTAATTGACACTACCGGACCTTCTGGAATCATTGATATGGGGATATCTCTTGAAGCACAGTTGAAACAGTTTTGAGACCTCGTCGAAGACGAAGACATCGAGTCCTCTTTTAAATAACATCGAGGCAGAGAACCACAAATTAACCCAAAGAGAAAGAGTGAAGCGTTTAAAAAAAAAAAAAGAGTGAAGGTAAATATATCATACTTTGGAGATTCTCGGTAGACAGGTTCAAGTAGACAATCACTACGAAAGGCACTTGAAACATCATAAGGTCGCCCATCCAAAGGAAGAATGGTACAAAGGCCTATAGTTCTCCAGTGCGACGCCCAAGTACTCATTCTTAACATGGATGACAATTCATGATACGTTTATCCACGGGAGATCGTATCAAATGTTGGAATTCGGGACAAAGGGTTGACTGTGTTCTTTGTGACGACATTGAAGAGTCAAGGATTCATCTATACTTCTTTTGTGGGTATTCTTCTGAAATATGGAGAGCTCTAACCCAAAGGCTTCTAGCAAATGACTACTTGACGGATTGGGATCACATTATTAAGAAATATTTTTAAAAATAATACTCAATTCTCTTTCGACCAAAGCTTTTTTTTTTTGCTTTTTGAGTTTACGATTTTCTTATGATAGATAATAATAAAGCTTCAACGTGACACATGTTGGGATAGATAAATGGACTTGACAATTTATTCCAAAAATTAACTAACACTTGATATATCGATTAGTAGATTCTTCAATTAATCACCTTCAGCTTGTGTATCAACTGATATATAATCGACTTGGTCTGCTCCAAAGTTGTGTCGTTCCAACGAATAATGACTCCTTTCTCGTTTATGCTAAAAATTACCCTAAAAATATTTTTCCCACAAACAAAGAAAGGGGAAAATGATGAGATTTATAATGTCATTCAATCCTAAAAATATAAAAATTTAATAGATCACAGTATATATATATATATATACCTTCCATCACGAGTCATCGCAGTCTGTGTGATCGTTGTTTTTGAATCAGGATCTGATAAACTATTTGCAAAAACAAATTCATGTCAACACCAAAGATAATCCAACCTAGCATTTGTGATATTCAATAATGATGTTTTTTTCATTTACTTACATTGCAATCAATTCAGGAGGGCTGCTTTTGAAATTCCAGACATATATTTGTCCCTTCTTGTTCCCTGATGATAAATCAAACCAAATTAATCCCAAAACATGATAAATAAAACCAAACCAAATTAATTCCAGGAATTCATTTTAGGGAGATTTACTCAGATGTTATACATTTTATATGAAATTACCAGAAACATACAGATCTTTTTTTTTATTACTATCATATTTCGGGTATATTTTTTATACCCAGCGTGCCCCTGTTAAACGTTAAAGAAAAAAACGTAATTACAAAGAATGCCACTGCCACGTCAGCAAAGCCGCGTCGCCACGTCAGAAATCGCTGACGTGTATTAATGAACTCAGCCGTCGAGCGATATAGCGGCAGTTACGGCTGAGTTACGGTATGTTGCGGCTGATTTAAGAAAAATGGCTGAGTTATGAGCAAACGGCTGACTTACGAGTATAACCCAGCCTGGAGTTACGGCTGACTTACTAAAATCTATCTGAGTTATGATAAAATGGCTGACTTTCGAGCATAACCCAGCCTAAGTTACGGCTGAGTTTTCACCCGATGGTTGATTTGTCAAATTTTTGGCTGAGTTATTGCTTCGACACGGCTGACTTAACTTTCTCCGGCTGGCTGAGTTATCAAAGACGGCTTAGTTATGGGATGACGTTACGGCTAATTTATGTTCGAGTATCATAAATCAGCCGTAATGAGCTGGATTAACGGAAAATTCGGCCTTATTATGGCTGACTTAGTAGCGAAAGATTAATTACTAGAATAGCATGCAATGACGGCCGACTTATTAAACGACACGACTGAGTTAAATATTTTTGGTTGAGTTACGACAGTAAACGGCTGAATTTGGCTGCCGTTTTTTCGTTTTTTAATTACTGTAATAGTATTCATGTTGCGGCTGAGTTAAAGTTTTGTTTGATGGCTGGTTTAATTTAGCTGATTTACATTTTCGTTTGGTGGCTTACTTGCCACTTCATCAATTAAAAAATGACGTGGATGCAACATTCCATGTCATCATCATCAAAGGACAAAAAAATAGGGCCAAATTTTTTCAACTCGTCTTCTTCACCTGAGTTTATCACATCACCGGAAATTCCAATTCTTCATCGTCTTCCTCATTCTTCTTCAATTTCTTTCATCCTTCTCCCGATATGGTTGATCCGGTTCCGGTAATTGGGTATAAAAACACAAATACGTATTTAACACCGATGAAAGAGGGTGTAGAGTTGTGCAGATAGATGCGAAAACAACGCACGAAAAACTTGTGAAGTTGGTGCTCGATGATAAAGTTAGAGGAAATGTTGCGTCTCTTATTGTTTCGCTGCAAATTTACATGTCACGGCTGAGTTATATGCTTAAGGGAAGACGAAAGGTTCGGTCAATTTACATGTCACGGCTGAGTTATATGTTCCAGGGAAGACGAAAGGTTCGGTAAAATTACATTACGGCTGAGTTATATGCTTAAGGAAAGACGAAAAGTTCGGTCAATTTACATGTCACAGCTGAGTTATATGTTCCAGGGAAGACGAAAGGTTCGGTAAAATTACATTACGGCTGAGTTATATGTTTAAGGGAAGACGAAAGGTTCGGGAAATTTACATGTCACGGCTGAGTTATATTCTCCAGGGAAGACGATAGATGGGTGTAAATTATATGTTACGGGTGAGTTATATGCTTCAGGGAAGACAAAAGGTTCGGTAAATTACATGTCACGACTGAGTTATCATTCAGGGAAGACGAAAGGTTGTGTAAATTATATGTTACGGCTGAGTTACATCACATTACGGCTGAGTTACATCACTTTACGGCTGATTTATAATACAGATCGGAAAGCAACATTTTTTTGGAGAAGACAATATGAAATTTATTGGTCAAATAACAACAATCAAATTAAGATTCGTAAAAATATGTATGAGGGATACATAGGAGGAAGACTAAACCGTATGAATCAAAACATAGATAGAAGTAGAAATGTCTCCAAATAGATCGATTGAGAGGAAGATTAAACGAGAGACATGTAAAATCAAAGTAAAAGAGTAGCTATTCTTGATTTCAACTCAAACCTGTAACGAATCATGTAGAATTCCATAGATCTCTTTGTTTTGGGTTTTGATTTTTGATGACTTTTTTCGTGAGCGTGGTTGCGAGTAGACCTGACGAAGCTTTTGATTTGGGACCCTATGGCAAGCGTTGTGGCTGTGAGGTCTAGGAAGATCCAGCCCAATCCTGCAATTTGAAGATCTCTGTCAATGTTGTACCCAAGTTAGTTGCAGATTATTAGATCTAAAAGCTTTTCTTGGATTTGGAGACAAAAAAATGAGAAGAGGAGAAATGATCTAAAAGTTTTTCTTGGATTTGGAGACAAAAAAGAGAAGAGTAGAAATAACATGAGTTTGAGGAGTGTGAGATTGGTGATGTGGATTAATGACATGGATAATCAAATTTTTATTTATTATTTTTAATTAAAAACGAATTAAAAATTATTAATTAAAAAAAAACTAATAAAGGGTGTTAATTGTAATTACACAAATGCTCAAAACATATGAGTAATTTTTAGAAAATGTATGATATTCTAGTAATATTCGAACTTTTGGTTAACATCTGAGTAAATATTTCTTCATTTTATTACCAATTGCAACTTTATCTTCCATGTTACATGAAAACTTGCATGGCGGTCCGCTTTCTGGAACAGGAAATTTTTTCACAATATTTGGCTTCCCATTAGACTGTATTTGCCACATCACTATCCCGTAGTCATCAAAAAAAAAAAAAAAAAGAGTTATATGTATATATTTATAGTAATTCGCACCGTAGTCTACTAACCAACCAACCAACCTGTGAGAAAAGCATATCACCGTCGTAAGAGAAACGGTTGCAATCAACGTAATCTGCACCAAGTGATACTTCATACATCTGTTGGTAGAATAAATATTGTTAGAAAACATGTGTCACTTCTGTTTTTGTAAACTGTTACAAGATGACAGAAATCAATTGATATAGTACTTACTGGAGAACTAACATATTTGGTTGGGAAATTTGACGCTTCGCCAGTCCACTTAGAAGACTCTTTTACAAAGACCCTATGCTCTGACAAATCCAAAGATTATAAGCCAGCGACAAAATCAACTTACTCAAATAAAACGTCATTATTTACCTTTTAGCGACCAGATTTTGATAGTTTTGTCTGCCCCTGAACTTATAATCCAATCCGTATCCATAGGATTAACGTCCTAAATTGCAAAGAAAACCGTTGGTAATTTACACAAAATTAAAACTGCAAAAAAGTATAATTAAACATATATATATATACAATTACACACCGCACTATAAACTTCACCATGATGGCCTTTGGTTCCAGAAAAGATCAAAACACACACCCCAGTTACGATGTTCCACAGTCGAACCGATTTGTCCTAATATTTAATTTTTTATGTAACAAGTGGCGCCAAAAGATTTTATTGCAATGCAGATACAATAATTTTCAAAAAAAAAAAAACATAGAAGTATAATTTACCTTGCTTGCACTTAAGACAAGTGGAAGAGCAAACAAATACGGTTTGATTTCATTCACTGCACCCTCGTGGCCTACCAAAGTCTTAATATGGAAGGCAAATCGAGTTGAGTAAATACATATTCCAGGTTATCTATATAATATAGTCACTCAAAATTTTGATTATACCTTATCAAAAGTAAGGCTGTGAGATTCTTTGCGATCATCAAATTCAATGACTCGGAGAATGCCATTTAGTCCTCCAGCCACAATCATTGGGAACCCATTCATGCCTTGACGTGCCCAGCTAACGGCATAAAACGATTCGTTTTTCTGGTAAAAAAAGAATGACAATTAAAGATCACCTACGTACCCAATAGTTTAAACTGCCACAAAATAAATATATAGTTAATTAGTAAAATGTATTCCGTACGTCTTCGTCAAAATAAGAAGGCATGGTGAATTTGGTAAAGGCACAGTCATCACTAGTAAGCAACATGTAACAAGTAACCTACAAAAAAGAGATGCACCAAATTAAACATACAAAGTCTTGTTGCCCAAGGATAGAAGAGTAGTGGTAGAAAAATCAACCTGGTAGCCACCGGCGACAGCAATGTAATCTTCAAAATGATCAAAGTCGTTAAAGGCAACGGCGGACATTCTTCTGCATGACTCATGAATCCATTGGACTGCTTTGTACTCTATCCTGTTTGATGGGGTTAACGATCCCACGGATGCCTCAGTTCCTGTGATTTGCACTTCCTTTCCAGGTCTATGACTCATAGTGATTTCGGATGCTAAACTTGTCAACGTTTAGGCGTTTTGGAGCAGGGAGAAGAACGACCGAGCTAGGGCTGGAGAAAATTTCACAAGATTAGAGGTAGTGCAGTGAAAATGACAGGATTATATTACATCATCTGGTATTTTAACGCATAGTGATTTCATTTCAATGTAGAATATTTCAATCTACCGCGGGTTAGAAGCTAAACATCACCTCGAAAAATTACCTAATATTATTATATAAATCACATGGTTAATAAATGTATACACTATACAGCGACCTACTCTACCTCTGCTAGAAAATGGTCAATTTCTTTTATTTGTTAAAATGGTTTCTTTATATATAAAAATGAATACATAATTAGCAAAATTCTATAAAGTTAAACGGAAATATTTTTTAGATCAAAACTGGATAATATGCCCTAGCGAAGAAGAAGGAATCAAGCAATTGAATCAGAAACTCGATTACAAGAAAAGAAGGAAGAAAGTAACTGAAATCGGTTAATTTTTGACATGGTAATTATATATTCATGCAATGATGTAATTGTAGCTCATACGTATCTGTCTCCTGAAGTAATTTGCAATTTGAATTATATAATTAATCTGTAGAGAAAGACTAGAAAAGTGAATTGTATAATCTGTAGAGAAAGACTAAACAGAATTAAGGCATGTTTACCCGAAGAGGGTAGCCATCGTGAATCTCAGTTATCCTAAAGACTAAAATGTTCAAGGAACTAACAACAAAGTAAATAAAAATATTAGAAGATAGCATCATTACCTTCCCTTCAAATATATATGGGTAATGTCTGCAAGAAAGAAAGAAATTGGTAAGTATAGAGTTAAATAGAAATGGGTAAGAATAGAGAAATAGAAGTTCAACGAGAAGATTATAATTAACCTAAATCTCTTTTCAGCGTCGTCAGAAAAAAAAATATATATATATATTCTAGTTTCACAAGTGTGACGGAAAATGTATGAAGAATAAGAAGAAGGTTATATGTTTTTATAATCCTCAAAGGTAATGTGATAGAGAAGATTTTAAGACTTGATGTCGATTGCTTTTTCTCTCTCTCTTTCTCTCTCTAATTAAGCAATAAGAGGCATCATAGCAAGAAAAAACAAATTTCAACGCGGAATATTTTTACTCTTTTGCTATATGTAGAAAACGTCTCAGAGCTCGCTACCTTAAAATTAAAGTTGAATATGTGTGCAATTTGAAAAACTTGCTTAAGTTTTCAAGATCTACTTTCAAAAAGATACTCATTGTGATATTTTTTTAGGAGTCTTTATTTTTATTTTTTCTCAAAATTATGTGGTGGAGTCGACGATTATTAAATGTGGAGCATCATCACCACTAACTGAATAGTTATACTATTTTGGACAAAATGTGGAAAAAGAGTGTAAGCTATTTCTAATTGAAATGCCCTTGATCTTTAGAGCTATATATAAAAAATGTTTACACCTTCAACACACAAAATTTTAATGAAATCAATTGTTACAAATTAAAATTACTGTACGGATAGAAAGAAGACTAGTAATTCTCTTTAAACCGGCCAAACGAAGTATATGCAATGTCCCAATCATTTCATCAATCAAGAATTTTTTAAAAATTAATTAGAGATTATTACAATGTCAAAATTTAAATTATCATAAATCTCTTTTAATATGTAAAAAAAGTGAAAATAATTTGGGTAAGAACATAAAAACTTTATATAAAGAAAATAAATAAATTTACTAGGAAATTGTATAAATGAATTTGGGTAAGAAAATTTGTAAAAATGAACTTGGAAAATAATAGTTTAGGCGCGTTAAAAATGAAGTCTTGATAAGGGGACCTAGAAACTTAGCGAATCATATCTATAAATGGATCTAAATCGGTGCTTAGTTAATATTATAGAGCACCAAATTTGACATTTATACAAATCTATTAGAAAATAATGTGCTTCTATTTCGAAATTTCACTATACTGTAAAACCTATTAGAGAATATCGCTATGTACTCTTTATTCTCGATCTAGTATTATTGTATAAAATTACATTTCGGAATTTTCATCATTGATTTCTAAGTATAAGTTGTTTTATATATATAACTCTCCAACGAGTTTTATTTTACAGTTATAAGAGATTTTTTTTTTTTTTTCGTCAAAGCATACTTATATTAAATTAGAAAAGTCAATACAAAGTTGGTTTTGGAGCCAACATGGCTGAATTACAGAATTTGAATAAAAAACAGAGGATATAGAACCAAATTTTGCTAGAAGATGGGCTGCCATGTTTCCATCTCTTTTAACAAAAGCAAAACGAATTGTTTGAAATTTCTTTTCCCAGAATTCGATATCCTTAAGGAGATTTGTCAATGAGCCGATCTTCTTTGAACCGTTGACTGTTTTGATTAACGTTTCACAATCCCCTTCAAAGATTATGGCCTTATGTCCACGAATCCATGATTGATGCATTGCTACTAATAAGGCTTTTGTCTCGGCTTCTAGTGGAGTTGTTGCATAACCAAGTTGCACTGATCCCCAAGATTTCGGTGTGCCCTGATGATCTCTAATGATCCAGCCTGCTGTCGCTTGATGTGTATGAGTATCAAAACCTGCATCAAAATTACACTTTATGAATGGAGGAGGCGGCTTCTGCCAGGTATGACTGGAAGAAAGAGTATGCGGATGATGACTTGTCGTGGTATCACTCTTCTTTTGACTAGTAGTTGCCGAGATCCAATGCTTTGTTTCAGATTGTACTTTCAAGACTGTTTTGGAAGCACTTTCTCTACCTTTGTTAAAAACAAAATTGTTCCTGGCTTTCCAAATTCGCCAAAGAAACCAATACGGCATGAGCTTTTTGTCGTCATGGGTTGTTTGGTTTGTAAAACTCATTAAATTTGATAAATTTCCTTCAAAATCATGGGTAAAACGGAGATGTTGCTGAGGTAGGTTCGATAGTCGCCAAACCATAGTTGCGAATGGACAAGTAAACAGTGCATGGTTGATGCTTTCTTCTTCACGTCGACATCGAGGACAAGTTTTGTCGAGGTTCATACCTCTGGATACCAATCTGGTCATGGTAGCTAAGGCTTGCGAGATGGCTCTCCATAAGAAGTGTTTAATTTTTGGCATGATAGGTAATTTCCATACTTTGTTTTTCAGATCCGTTGAACCTGTAGGGATAGGGACATGATCATGAGGTTCAAAAGGATCGTGAGTGAGCATCCAATAACCAGATCGTACGGAATAGTCGCCAGAGTTGTTATAATTCCAAAGTAAGGTGTCGCTGGTTTCTTCCCGTGCAAGGTGAATGTTCAAAAGAGAGGATTGATCTCGTGGGTCCACATATGTGGCGATCTTAGTAGTATCCCATGATCGTGACGTACCAGTTTTAGAAATGAGACATCCTAGCGAAATACCCTTATGAGATTCAACAACCCGAATTGGCCTTGGTGGATGAGCATCAATCACGTTGTCAATGCCCAAACGGATAGTATCACCATCTCCGACCGTGTATCTAGAACCTTTTTTTAGTAAATCTATTCCTGAGAGAAGGGAAGCCCACCCATAAGATTGATATTTGCGACCTTTGGCTTCCAAGATCGAGCTATCCCGGAAGTAGCGAGCTTTCATAATCTTGGCAAATAAAGAGTGCGGATGCTGAATAATGCGCCAGGCTTGTTTTGCAAGTAAAGCATCGTTAAACTTTGCTAAATCCCGAAAGCCTAGGCCTCCTTCTTTTTTCGAGAATTGTAGTCGTTTCCAGGCAATCCATGGAATACCTTTTTGTTTTGAGTTCTTTTCCCACCAGAAATTCATTAAGAGGGATTCAATTTCTGAAATGATCCCTTGTGGTAGCTTGAAACATGACATCGCGTATACAGGCATTGCGAGAGCTACAGATTTTATTAAAATTTCTTTACCTGCCGGGGATAAAAATTTCGCACTCCAAGTGGCTGTTCTTTTCTTGACCCGTTCAATGATATATTCAAACATCTCCTTCTTTTTCCGACCGAATTGTTCAGGTAAGCCTAAATATTTACCACCCCCACCATGATTTTGAATGCACAAAATGTTTTTGAGCCTATGTTGAGTGTTACCATAAATTCGTGAGCCAAAAGTTATCATAGATTTGTCCTTATTGATTTTTTGGCCCGAATAGTATTCATAGACATCAAAAACATCTTTTAAGGCTTGGCAATTCCTTGTGTTTGCTTGGCAAAAAAAGAGGGAGTCATCCGCGAATTGTAAGTGTGTTATCGCCGGTACTCCATTTCCGATTCTTACACCTCGTAGCTCCCCGTCTTGAGCTTTGCTTCGAATTAGGTGACTTAAAATATCACTACATAGGATAAAGAGGTATGGAGACAAAGGGGCACCTTGTCTTATACCTCTAGAAGGTGTGATATTGCCGTGGGGAGTGCCATTAATCAAAACTGAGTATCGAACTGAACGGACTGTTGCCATGATCCAATTGATCCATTTGTCGCAAAAACCAAAACGCCGCATTGTTGTTTCCAAAAAATTCCATTCGACTCTATCATATGCTTTGCTTACATCCGTTTTCACCGCCATGTAAGTTTGGGAAACTCTTCTCCTAGTCTTCAAAGAATGCATGATTTCATGTGCAATCATTACATTGTCGTTTATTAATCTCCCCGGTATAAAAGCAGCTTGTGCATCCGAGACAATTGAATCAAGATGCGTTTTGAGACGTCGAACTAAACATTTGGAGATAATTTTGTAGAGCACGTTACACAAAGCAATGGGTCTATAATCGGAGAGAGTTGTAGGGTTGTCTATTTTTGGTATCATACAAATATTCGTATGGTTAATGTCTTTTTTCAGACGTGAAGTCATGAAGAAAGTTTTTACTTCTCTAACAACGTCTTTTCCAACAATACTCCAGCATTGTTTGTAGAAACGTGCTGTCAGTCCATCCGGACCGGGAATTTTATCATCTCCTATCAAAGAGATAGCGTCATATATTTCATCCTCTGTGAAGTCCTTTGTTAAG